CCCTTTTTTCTCCTTTCCCTTCTTTCTCCTTTTGTCTTTTCTCCTTACCTTTTTCTTTCCCACTTCTTTTCTCTCCTCTTCCCTCCCTTCCCCCCCGCTGGATGTAGTTGTGTTTGGCCACGAAGGATGAACAACACAACAAAACAGCCAGTACTGGTTGCAAGTGATTGATTCATCTTCCTTCCCTGGTAACTTGCAGAGGTGCAGCATAATTTGCCATGAAAAAGGAGAGGGGCTGATCAGGTTCTGTACATTTGGATCACCTACTGATTTGTCTAGTCTACAGACTCCATGCATGATTTCTGACTCTGTTTAATCTAGACTGCAGGGATTAGATCTGCAAGTGCTTGTGGGGGCATGAGAAATGTGCAGAGGGGAGGATTCTGCAATGTGACGTGTAAAATACCAGAGGAGCAGGCTGGAGGTTTCTACACTGCTCAAAAATAGTAAACTTTAGAGGGAGAGAGAGAGAGAGATGATCAAACACTGAGCTCTGTGGCTGGCAGTTTGTAAAGCTTAGAGGATGAATAAGCCATACCTTAAAGATGGCCAGAGCTTGAATACATTTGGCCTCAGGAGATTTCCAGAGGAGAAAGTAAACGTTTGGCCAGACATGAACGGGAGCAGCAGCTCTGGAGTTTCCTTCTCTTGCCCAAACTATTTCCTTTGCTTCACCTTCTTGCTTCTGTGCCAAATAGGTCTGCTCATGGGGCATCCCCAGTGCCTGGACTATGGACCTCCTTTTCAGCCTCCTTTACACCTGGAATTCTGCTCTGCCTATGAGAAGTTTGGCTGCTGTGACCAGGAAAAGGACAACAGCATTGCAGCAAAATACTGGGAGATCATGGATTACATTAGTCCCCAGGGTCACAGGCTGTGTGGAAGGTATATAAAGGATATCCTATGTCAGGTAGGGCAGATGGTTTCAACCTGTGTGCACTATTGGTTTCTATTAGGAGGTGATCTATCTGTTTTATCACTTCTATATATATGGTGCTGTGGGGTAGGTCCCAATGTGAACTATGCTAGATGTCAGCTTGCACAAAATTGAGGATATTATAAATGCATGTAATAATGATTACTCTGATTGCAAGATTATTACCTATCAAACCCCTGATTAAATGAAAGAAGCTGTTGTTAGGAGAGACAATCCTAGCCCTTTTGTAACTGAAGAGACATTTAGAATAAGTTCAATATTTATGTTCGCATTCTGCTCGTAAATACAGGGTAACTAGATGTCAAGTTATGCAGAACCAAATGAAAAGAGAATAGGAAGCTCAGTGTTTGCATTCCCAGGTCTCATGGAGGGTGTGTTTAGATTGTCTTGCTGCCTAGTGCCCTGTAAATGCTGTGGTTAGTAAAATAGAACAAAATTAAACAACCAGCAGATTCATGCAACCGAAAGAAAACGAGGCTTCAGTTGCTGTGTTCCCTCTGGACTGTCTTCATCCGGCTCCTGGCAGTGGCAAAACACTAATGGCACAGCCCTTCCTGAGCTCCAGTCAGAACAATGTTTTATTATGGGCAGAAGGGACCTGACTTTTTTAACAACCTTGTTAGTTATGCAGGTCATGGTTTACTGTGTGAATGCCAACATAAAACAGCCAAAACACACTTTTAGGCAGACATAAAAATTCTTCCAGCTTCCAATTTCTTTAGCCCTAAAATATTATCCATGTTTACCAGATAATTCCACTTCTATTGGAACATTGGCAAGATTCTGGAGTCATTTTGGAAAAAGCCAGTGTTCAGAAAAAGAAGACTAAATGCTTCATTGGTCACTTTTACAGCCAGCGATTCTGAAAAAAAATGCGGATCACAGTAGAAACTCTCAGATTCACACTAATGACTGAGAGGCCCAGGGAGGATTTCCTATATGTGACAATTAGAAAGCAAAGATACAGCAGTAACAAAACTGCTGCACCTTTTTATTTTGATCAGATAAGCAGAGCTTAGTTTGAACTCATAATCAAATTTTAGAACCCCCCCACCCTGAATATTGGCATATATTTTTTATAAGTATCCTGAGATCTTACAATGACCATGATAGAGTAGGATATATATCACAATAATGATAAATTAACTCTGTGATGAGCAGCAGCTTGTGATTGTTAAAGTTTTAATGGCCTGTTCTGCTCCCATTCAGATGGGGATAGGCGGGGTTCCTTAGTAAGAATTATTTGCTTATTGCATTAGCACAGTGAATGGGGAACTAGTAAATAATGAATTTATTTTCCTCAGTTAAAGTCATCTGTAATTTCCAGTACATTAACAGTAATGACAGATTCTCATTCCAGCAAGTTAAGGATGTCCTAACAATTCATAATGATTATGTGTGAAATGTCAACACACAGACTTAGTGTTACACAAGTTTAAAAAGAAGATGATGCTGAATACACCATCAGAATCTAGATTTGCAAGTGGTTGCTAACTAATAACTGCATGTAGTAAGAGATCAGTGAGACTACTTACTGTTGCAAATACTACCTCTGGTGCTAAGTGTTTGAAGGTCAAAACTCAAGGGATAGGCAGAGAAGGAGAACATTATTATTTGCTCATATCTTTAAAGCAAATTAACAAGAATTAATTATAGAGAGAGTGATTCCTATGCTTTTTTATTACTAGCTTGCATTGCAAGGTTCTCCACTGAATTTTACTACAGGTGTATTCAGCAGCTGCTCTGCTATGGTGGTAGGTGTGTCAACCTATAAATATTTTTGGGAAGTCAGAATAGCAATGCCCTTGGAAACAAATGCATCCATTCTGTACTAGGGATAGTGGAAATCAAATGACAAGTCTGTTTTTACAGCTTTTCCCATTGGTACCAGGATGCTGATAAGAGTTGATATAAAGAGACGTGCAGTGGAACTCATTGACAAACCATAATAAGACTTTTACAGGTCTTACAAAGCTCAGGAACTATGCTGTGCATTCTCAAGCACCATTTCCTGACACCTTATCTATACACTAATGATTTACAGATAGAGAGGACCATTGTAATAATGGTTGGCTTTGAATGCATTTTTCATCAAAGATTTCCATCTGTTATAGTCCAAATCACCTACATTTGTCTTCATCATTTTTGTTCATGTTAAAAGAGAAGGTGTAATGCAGCTTGTTTCGATTGACTTGAAAAGAACTACTCTGACCTCGGCTGAGAGTTTGGGCCATCTTGGCTTTTATTAGTAAATGTTTAGGACTGTGAATCTAAAAAAAAAAGCTGACAAAGCCGGTAGGGAAATACATAGCGCACAAGCGAGGGACTGACAATAGAAGGTTGGGGGTGAGGAGGGGAATGTAACTAGGTTACAGGAGATACAACGTTAGCCAACTAAGCCCAGGGGGAGGGGGGAAGGGGAAGGAGGGGGTTCGCGACGCTGAGAGAAAAAGCAGATAGATGTACACAAACCCGTTACAATGGTCCGCAATGGTGGAAGAAGTGGTCCGAAGAAAAAGTGTCTCAGTCCATATAGAGGCTCATCGCAGGGGTCCTCTTCGGGTGGAGCAGGGTCATCTGTTGTTGAAGAATCTTCTTGAAGTGAAGGTCCATCTGGTGCAGGGGGGTCAGGCAGTCCCCTCTGGGTCCAGTTCGGCGGTGGTTCGTCTGGTGGGGGCGGTGTACGGGTGGTGTGGCCCGTGATGTGTTCCACGTAGATGTCACGGGACCAACGGATGGTGTACACTACACTTATTTTAAACCTGTAGGAATATTAAGCCTGGTTATCACTGGGTGTAAATGGTTAGCTACATTGAGATGTTGGCTTAGAAAGTGCATGTGAAGTCCATACCAATATTTGCCCTTTATAACTTTAAGCTAATGATTTTCAGCCAGGGTGCCATGAGATCTTTTTAAGTGTGTTATATGGTATTAGTACTGTTAGGTGGGCAAACAACCACACACAGTTCATGAGAGAAACCCAGAGATTTCTTCAACTCCCCTTGCATTGTCCTACCCGTGTGAGGGAAATGGGAACAGGTGACCAGCAAGTACAGAGAGACAGTTGATGTAGTTAATGTGACATTGACCCTAAGAAATGCCTTTATGTCAGACATTTAACCAATATACTGGCTGTTGCTTGCATTCCTTACAAGACCGCCAATGTATGTGAGAAATGAATGGCTTAGGAAACAGCAAAAGCTATTACCTGAATGGCTGGGAAAGAACCTTCACTATTTAGAAGGTGTAATATGTTCACTACCAGACTCTAACACCGCAAGGGCTGCAGCTAGATCTAAACATTAAAGATGCTGAGACTACCCTCAAAAAAGAACAAGTGTATTTCAATGGTCCAGAAGTTGCCATAGCTCTCAGACACCTGACTACAGTGGGACTGACTCTGATCTCATGCACACCAACACAACCCAAAGGAAACTCTTTTCAAGTCAGTGAAGTGTTGCCAGTGCAAAATTGAGGTGACAGGGGCAGTAAATGCTCAAATGCACAGAAGAAATCTCAACACTGAACGGCAAACAGCTCTTTGGAGCCAACTTCAGAAACGTACTGGCTAAGAGTCATCTTTAGGTTTTACAGGGCCCAACATACAGTTGTTGGCTTTATCCAGTTCCCCGCCACATCCCAATGACATACTGCCTGAGACCTTTCCTTAGTTTCTGGTGATCTCCACCTAATGTCATATTTTGTGAGATCTTGTCTCGCAACCTAAATTTTATATCTGCATGTACGTGTGTGCTCTCTCCAGAGCCAGCTTGGGGTTATGTCACAGAGGGTGGAGTCCATAGGCACTCCTGAGGCCCATCCAGTTATTATTTACTCACATCAGGGCCTCCCACTTGCAGGTGCCTTTTAAAGGAACAAGACTGGACAGAGACCTCAGTTGCCTTGGTTTTCATTGTATTGAGGGCAATAAGAGCCCATTGCTGCCCTTCGGTGTTTTTCGAGGGCCCTAAACTGCAGATCTGCCATGATTTTGTAGCTTGAGGCATAACACAGGTCACGGGACTCTGCCCCACCATATCACACTGCAGATTTCTGTTCCACAGTGCCTTTTTGGCAGGAGTGAGGTAGGAGTGTCAGAATGAGGCGAGAGGATCAGTTGCTGTGTAGATCTGTAGTCCTAAACCCATACACATAGGGGCATACGTGTGGTCCAAGAGATCTAGTATTGGTAGTGGGGCAACTGTGTAGCTATTCCATGCAAAAAGTACTAAGGTACAGGACTCCTCTCTAATCTCTCACCCATATGCTGCTGAGCTGATAGGTTTCTATTTGTTATATGTGCTGTTTTAGTCCAATAACCTGGGCAGCTGGCATGGGGCTTTTCTGCTGAGAGGCGGTGGCATCCATGCTATGGTTCTACCCTACTGTAAGCAACAGAACATCTTTATTATAATAAAGTTTAGATGTCAGGATTTGTTACCTTCATATACGAAAATCCTGGGAAAGGCTGCCATTTACCATGAAAATATTGAAGGCCTGGAACATTTGCACAGACATCCTCTGAGATTTGACTAATGTAACATGAACAATACCAGCTTAATCATATTTACTCCTTGGCTTTACCTTAGTCCATGCCTATCCAATACATTTGCTGTGTGCTGATGTGATGAAGCCCAATAAATCAATTTCAGCTCTCTCCAGGATTTATTTAATTGGGTTTTGGCTTCTATAGGTCTTACATTCATGAATATGCAGATCTAGTTTTAATAGAAATATCTTTAAAAGGATCCAAACACTGCTGGATGAAAAGCTGTTAAAAATTTGCAAAGCTGGGGTAGATTAAGTATTATTTTTTCCTATATCTTGCACATCTGAAAATCTGGCTGTTAAGGTATATAACTTTTGTCACCCCACCTTGAAAATACTGACCTCAAGTGATTTGCCCAAGATGATACAGAGGGTCATGGCAAATCCATGCATAGAGCCCAAGAGTTTTAAATCTTAATCTTGTAAAAGTAATGTATTGACTTTAGCAGAAGTCCATACAGGCTGAAAGTTAAGCATGTACTTAAGTGCATATGTTTAAAAAAAAGCTTATGTGCACATAAGTACATGCTAAAAAGAGGCCTTAAATCTTTCGGAGAAATGTCATGATGCTAACTACTCCAGGGATGATTTACTCTAGCTATTTGTCTTCCTAATTATTTTCTGTGCTATTGACTATTCTGTTTGCATGAAAACCATTTGATGCGTCATGAATGTGTGTACACAGTTTGTATTTATTTTTATAGGAATGTTCCCCATATGCAGCTCATCTCTATGATGCTGAAAATCCTCAAACACCTCTTAGGAACCTCCCAGGACTTTGCTCTGACTACTGCTCTGAGTTTCATTTTAACTGCCATTCTGCTATCACGCTGCTGACTAATGACAAACACATCCAGGAGTGCTGCGAGAGGAACAAGACCCGCTTCTGTAACCTCCTAAACCTGCAGGATCAAGACTACTGTTTTCCCAACGTCCTAAAAAACACAGACCTAAATCGGAACCTGGGATCGGTGGTGGAGGACCCCAAGGGCTGCCTTCAGCTGTGTCTGACAGAAGTTGCAAATGGGTTGAGAAATCCAGTACTGATGGTACATGCTAATGATGACACTCACCGTATGTTTATAGCTGAACAGGTGGGAATGGTCTGGGTCTACTTGCCAGATGGGAGCCGGCTGGAGGAGCCTTTTCTGGATATCAAGAAAATAGTGTTGGCTTCCCCATGGATAGGGGATGAAAGGGGTTTCCTAGGAATGGCTTTTCACCCCAAATATAAATACAATGGGAAATTCTATATCTATTATTCATATATGGACAAGAAAGTGGAAAAAATCAGAATCAGCGAACTGAAGGTTTTGGCATCTGACGTCAATAAAGCTGATCCACATTCAGAAAGGTAAAGTTTGTTCAGAGCTGTACTGACTGTTTCAACTGCTGATCTGACAAGAGAGAATCCTTCCTCTTCCACCCTCACAGCAGCATCCAGAAAAGTTGCAATCACTTAGAAGGGATGTGGTTGGACTTTAATGGAGACTGCCAAATTAAGCCAGAAAACAATGTGAATGATTTGTTCAGGGTCGCATGTTGAACCTGAAGCAGAACTGAAGAACAAACCTGGGAATCATGACTTCCAGTTCTCCTTTAACCATTTGAAAATATTAGCCCCTAGTCCTGTGGAAAGCAACAGTACAATAGCAAACTCACACTCCAATAATTTAAGCTGTAAGGCCTGTAGAATATTAATACCTGCTTTGAGAGTGTCTTGTGCATGTTAATATTTTCTATACGAGAAGATTTTCAATTACGTAAACTCACTGATTTTTCATCCATTATAAAGATGTTTTATTGCAGTGATATAACGTTCACGTGCACACACCACAGCAGTTCTGAGAAACAGTCTTGTTCTCTCTTTAGAGTGTCTTCATTTTTATTAATAATATGACTATATTTTCTGGGGAAGCTAGTTCTGTACCTTTTGCTCTTGGAATGGGATGAGTTCATGATGCCACATGTTGGTTTTTGTGCGCTTCATGTTCATTCTGAAAGGCATACATGAGGATCTTGAAGCCCAAAACTAAACAGTTGAAAACAATACTAATTATTTCATGGTGTGAGTTTAAAAGGGAAGAAGCAATTTCCACTAGGAATATATTTTAAACAGAGATCAAGGATTAAGTGGATCCTGGACACAGAACTGTCCTTTTTCTCCTAGAAAGGTTCTTCTATGTTGAGATGAAAGCATGATGGCAGGGTAATGTGGGTGGAGCCTATATCCCCCCGCCATTCTGTATATGTTCTGTAGGGAAGCAGAGTGCTGGAGACCCCAGATCTTGCTGTCTGGCCCCATTTACCACCTCCCATCTCCCAGCAGCTTCATCCGCAAATGCTAAAAATGCACACAACAAAACTAGAATGAAAAGATCCAACTGTATATTTAAGAAAACTGCTTTTAAAAATATTTCCCCCCAGTTTATTCCAAATGAAAAGGCTCTCTAGCCCATGCAGCTTTCTGATGATTAATGTGGGGTAACCAGGAGCTCTGCCAGTACAGGAAGAGACTAATAAGGTGGAGTTGTTTAATTTTTCCATCTCTTGTAAGACAGGATAGATGGGAACAATCCATGCCACCTGCTGGGTTTGCACTCATTGTACCAGGGTGCCTGAGAAGCCCGCCCTTCTTAGCCTGGGAATGGTATGAATCTCTTAGAAGAGTATACTGTGCTGCCTATTATGGGGACTGCATAGTGGTACATTACTCTAACTCAGTGAGGTGCTGAATCTTATCCAGTGGCTTCATCTGTGGTTATTTTTCTTTTCTTTCTTTTTAGGAACCTTTTAGAACTTGAAGAACCAGCTGCAAATCATAATGGGGGGCAGCTCCTCTTTGGTGTGGATGGCTACATGTATTTGTTTACTGGGGATGGAGGAAAAGCTGGGGACCCTTTTGGAAAATTTGGGAATGCTCAGAACAAGTAAGCTGGAGGATAGATTTACATGTCTCTTGTGTGCATGTCAGCACATTGGCTCAGTACATGATGAAACAGAATTTGGGCACAGACATGGGCTAGGGACAGAAATACTTAAACCGGTATAAATGATTGGAAACTAGTTCAAATCTGTAACCTAACAGAAGTTCAGTCCACATAAACTGCTTTCAAAATGGCCAAAAAATAGTTTAAGATGAACCTCATTCGACTTAACTGATTTAGGTTAAATTAGTTTCTTGAACTTCTGTCCCAGATCCCCTCCAAACTCAAATTAACTCACAGTTCCCCAACATCCCACGATTCTTTGCACCTCCTCCGCAAACCCCACCTTTCAGGAAGGGCAGGCTAGCCCAAGTTGTCTGCTCCAGCTAAGCAGGGAGGCATGCTCAAGCACCTCCAGCTTCTGGCCTGGGCCATTGCATGAATGTGGCTGCATTTCCAGAATCAAAAGTGACTGTCTGTTCCCTTGCTTATTGGTTCCATCTATGCAGCTTAGACTAACCTGTGAAGATTGAATCGATTCAGCCTTGGGCTTTTTGACTGCCTGTACTTAGCCATGTAGGATGGAACAATAAAACAAAAATGCTCCCTATTCAAGCCACTTGCAAATCAGGACTATGACCATCATACAGTGTCCTCTGTTTACTTCTGAGACCAGTTTGGCAAAAACTATTTAGGGGATATGGATGTAAGGGTTCATTGTTGTTGTATCAAATTTTACAGAACTGAGATCAACCTTTTCCAAAAAGGAAAAGTCTGGGCAGGTGGAGGAGGAAAGTCCAAGCTAATGTGAACAAAAGGAGAAGCTCTGTTGGCTGATTTGCAATAGAGCTCCTATCTCTCTCTGTCAAGCAGTTCTGATTCCCTCCAGCAGAATAGAGAGGTGTGGATGTACACGCACATACACATGCAAGACACTGCAGTACAGCATCCACTAGCGCTGGTTGAAAATAACCTGAATGTTGAAATTTGACCAAAAAAATAGAGTAAAAAATCATGCAAATGTTTTCTAGGGTTGGGGGAAGAGACAGTGTTCCTATTCTCCCTCCATCTTGGCTATGGACATCTACGAGCTGTTATCTGCCATTTCGTTAACCCAATGTCTGCGCCTTGTCTTGTTTTCAGGAGTACTTTATTAGGAAAAGTTTTGCGAATAGACGTGGATGGAAAAAACCCAGGTGGAAAGCCTTATCACATCCCACCAGATAATCCCTTTGTCTCTGACCCTAAGGCTCTCCCTGAGATCTATGCCTATGGGGTCAGGAATATGTGGCGCTGCACTGTTGACAGAGGGGACCCAGTCACCGACAAAGGAAGAGGGAGGATATTCTGTGGTGACGTTGGACAGAACAGATTTGAAGAAATTGACATCATTGTTAAAGGAGGGAACTATGGCTGGAGGGCTAAGGAGGGATTTGAATGTTATGACACAAAACTGTGCCGTAATTCCTCCCTAGGTAAGCTACTTGCATTGATTGCTTGAAAGGGCACATTCTATGCAATGTGTGTTAAGATAACAACTCTACTGCCATTTTTCCAGCAAACCTCAGTAATCTGAAGTCAGAGAAGGGCAGTATACTTATGTTTGATAAGAAAAACAAAAATCCCTGCCAACCCAGATGCACTGAAATGAAAAAATGTCCTGAGACCTGGAAGAATTCCCCATCATACCTTGCACATGCAATACCCAGTCTAGCCATTAGAAGTCTTTGTATTTAGTCAAGTGGTTACTGGATCAGGACCTAAGTGTATCATGGGAAGTATTTGCTGGCTATTGGCCAATACTGAAGCCTGGCTACCAGCCTTAGTGCTGTGATCCTACAGCAAATCTTATGCAGGAAGCATTGTGAGATAGTGGGGTGGGATTCAGAAGACCTGAGTTCTAGTGATAGCTCTGTCCCTGAGTGATTTTGGGTAAGTAATTTTATTTCTCTTTGCCTCAGTTTTGCTGTATTTATAATAGGAATAATGATACCCACCTGCTTTGGAAAGTGCTTTGAGAGACCTCCTTGTTAGAATTTGTTACTGTTGTTGTTTTTATGTCCCTTAAATGTTTTGCTGATAAACACTACTCTTAAGATAAAAAAGTGTAAGTGATTCTTGAGGCTTGAGGGTATGAGTGTGTGTGTGTGCATGCACACCCACACCCACACACCACCCACCTGTCTACATACCACATGGCCAGTGGTGATGTTAATGGGGTGCCACAACTAGAGAATACTCTTATTGTTTTCAACAAGGGTAAGGGTAATACTGTGGCCTAAGGACTAGGAAGGTTATCATGTACCTGTTTTAGCTTTGGCTGCCAGGATTCAGATTTTTACCGAATTACATTTTTCTCCTTCTGCTGTTCAGCAACACAACAAAACAAAAACCCCATCAAAAAGCAGAGGCTGAGTGGCAAGTTTTCAGCGCTAAAAGAGACAGAACCAGCTTTCATGGTAGCAGTTAGAAAGTTGGGAAGTAATTCAAATGTTTGGTATTACCTGGGGTTCTGCAGAAATAGATTTTCAGCTGCTGCCCGTGGTGAGGACACAACCAAAGACTGATGTTTGTTCTATGCATTTATTGTGCTGGGAGGCTTCACAACATGTAAAACTTTAACTGCCTGCTCACATATTTTGTCATTTCAGTAGAAAGAACATATTTTTTAAAGATAATCTTTATCAAAATGTTTGATAAAATTGGCCAGGCCAGTTTCAACACACTGTTCTTAGTATTTTTGCCATTTTGGGATCATGAATTCTAATTACAGTATATACCTGGTATGAAGAGTATTGGTCCAATATGCTAGGGAAGTCCACTAGCTGAGCCTTGTTGAGCCACATAGGAAGTTCAGAGACAAATTCTTCACTGATATAAAGAGTTGAAGCATTGAAATAAATCAAGCTCTACATTACTTTATATTAGCTCTTTTGGTCCTTGTTTTCCTCATCAATGCTTTTAACAAATTGTTTTTTGATAAACTGTTGAGTGAAATATTTTCTTGGATTTTGTATTGAACAGATGACATTCTTCCAATATTTGCATATGGCCGCAAGGTGGGGAAGTCGGTCACTGGAGGATATGTATACAGGGGGTGTGAGTCACCAAACCTGAACGGCCTCTATATTTTTGGTGATTTCATGAGTGGGTAAGTAAGACGTTGGTTTCTGTTCTTTTCTCTCCAGCTGCCCCATACCCCTCTGTTTTCCATCAGTGCTATTTCTGTATATCTGAATCCTTGTAGCCCAGAGTAAAAGAATATCCTAAACATTTCAAACTATTTGGATCAAAGTTTTCTCTGGTCCATTATGGAAATGGCACCTGTAACATTTTCATCTACATTATAACTTTCTCAGAGTTACAATTTCTTATTATTTTTATTCAAGCCTATCTTTACTAAAGACAGGGCATGTCTACACACAACACTATTTTGCTGTAGCAACACACTATGGTGATGTAGCGTGTTTCTATGGCGACGTAGTGTCGATGGGCACAAACCATAACGCTGACGCTACGTCATCATAGCGATGAGTTACTTTGCTATAGTGTGTCACTACGGCAAGACGTAGCTATTAAAAATAACTGTGCGCTGCTTGGACAGCCCAGTAATGGCTATTACTGCGCTGTTGTTTAGTACTTCCTAAAGCAAGTACAAATGAGGACATAGGAGCAACTGCACCATGGGGGGCATGTGTAGATGCGCCCAGTATTGAGTCAAACCCTGTTAAGGTCCTAAATAATATTTTTATTTCAATGATACATAATGTTGGCAGGAATTAATTCTGTTAATGGGACTATGAAACAATAAAACATAAGTTTTATTTTTCATCTAGTCGACTTATGGCTTTACAGGAAGATGAGAGGACAAACAAATGGAAAAAGCAAGATATTTGCATTGGTAGCCCTAAAGCCTGTGCTTTCCCTGGGCTGATCAGCTCTTATAACAAATTCATCATCTCATTCGCTGAGGATGAGGCAGGTAATGTACCCTGCTAGTCAGGGAACTGGCTTCTGTGAAAGCTTCAGGACAAATGGGTGGGCTTATGCTATTCTCTGGAAGTGCTAGCTTAGGGAAGTGGCTGCAAAACTGTGATGTAGTGTCTCAGCTCCTGGAGCTGGCTGATGTTTTAGAGAGTTCCTAGGTGCAAGGTCTGTGAGTTTATCCCACTGACCTGGGAAATATGCAAATGTTGTTTTGTTATGGAAGCTGGGAAGTCTTCAGACTGTGCTCTCATAAAGTATGACACGGATGGATATTACACTTCTGCTGTCTCTACTCTTCCTCTAAAATCTTGCCCTGGTACTATAATGTAATTTGAAATGCAACAATCATTTTTCCTGGCATTTTTTCAAACTACAATACCCTTCTTCATATTATACTGAGGACTAATCAGAAGATGATATGAAGAGCTGCTGATTTCTCCAAATGCAGATCTGAGCACTCGATTAACAAAAGCCTTCTGTCATAAATGATTATCCATTCTGGCTTCAGCTTGATTTCCTTTTTTGGTACTTCATAAGACAGCTAAATATTTGTTCTGTGGACTTTTCCTCTATTTGTAGTTGTTGAACGCCTTTGGAATAAAAACCAGACTCTTTAAGAGTACAAACAAAATACAACGCCCATTTGGAGTGTCATCTACAGGAAGCCACTGGAGCCTGGTTGCTGCATTGTGGTAGGGATGGAAGGATTTCTGGGCTCACGCAGTGCCACATTGACATAATTGGGTCTTTTGTGGGCACAGCCATTCTGCCCACCTGTATCATGATGTTGGATTAAGTCCCAAGACTTGAAAAAGAATTTTGAATGAAACAAATAGGCAGGCATGACCCTTTCTGATGACACGAGTTAGTAGAGAAGCTAAGAATGAAGGGGGAATTATAGTGTATCACATCTGGGCTTATTTGGAGCACCTACATCTGAATCTGCTCATGTTCTTAAATATTCTCTCTCTGTTTATTTAGGGGAACTTTATTTTATGGCTACATCGTATCCCAGTGCTTATGCACCCCATGGATCTCTCTACAAATTTGTTGATCCTGCAAGGTTAGTGCTTGTTAAGGTTTGGTTTTTCTTTGCCAGCTGCTTTGTAATCACCACACATTCTGTGGTTGTGCTGCCAGGCAGGGAGTACATAATCAGTAATCTACACACTTACATTTTGATCTTGGTTACCTCACTGTAAAGCTGAAGCAACTACACTAACTTCAGTGAAGTTACTGCACACTTACACTGAGAGCAGAGTCCAGATCAGCATCTCATAAACATTTTGGTACAATATTAAATAACATTTTTTTCTTTAAACATCTAGGATACAATACAAACTTGTTTAAATAGTACAAAAAAAATCATACCCATCAGGGTCACAACGGAGATAGCTTTTGTCTGCATCATCCAAGGACCTTGTAAAATAAAGAAAACTTATTTTTGTAACAGCAGGAAGTTCTTTTTTCAATGTTTTTCTTTCTACCAACGTTAACCTGTGTGGCTTAGCTCTTGCATTACTGCCTTCAGGTCAGCGGTGCAAAACAAACCTCTGAAAAAGGGGTGGTGACCCATGAAATATTAAAACATGGCAAGTGGCTGAGGTTGTACAACAAGCTAAGGGAGACTAGATGCAGACTAGTTATAGGCTACAATGCCTTTCCCTTTAGGCTATTAGTTCCAATCCAACATTGTCTGTTTAGGTTGTTTTATTCTTGACTTATTTGAATTTAATTAGTGGTCTGAGGCGCCTAGATTTTGTTACCATGGTCTGGCCCCTTCAATTGCCGAACTCTATAAACAGGCTAAGGACTGAATGGGCCAGAGAAAAAAAATGCCTTTTTACCATGTAAAGCAGATCATGTCTTAGCATGTTTTCAGGGAAAGCTTGTACTGCTACCCTCTGGGAAGCACCCAAGATTGGCACAACAAGGTTTCTCTTAATTTCTAAACCTGACTTAGATTGAAAATGAAATTAAAAATAAATGGTAGGGGCCAGTCTTTGAGTGTTCTAGCTATTCCAGCACTGTGCAGAGAGGCTAAATGGGTTTGACAAGGTCAGTTCTGAATCACTTCTGTGCATGTCTATTAGACTGCCTTTGGATAATGTTTGGAGGTTGTTGATATGCTGGCAGTTCCCTGAACTTCTGCTGTCTGTGACCTGGCAGATAGCCTGTCCAGATTTGTGTCTGTAATTGCATGTAAGGAAAGCTAGTTTGCCAAAGTCAATGTGATGGGCCTTGGGAGCAACCACAAGGAAAAGAGCTGAAAATCTACCTTTGTCCTTGTTTCATTTATAACCTATAATTAGGGAATAAAGCTAGTTTAGGAAAACTGGGGGCCAGAGTTAACACAAACTGGATAGCTGTTGATCAAAGCTGATGAGGAAACAAAGTCCAAATAACTGAAGGGTACCTTCATAAAACAATTACATAAATAAAGTTTTACATTTCTATAGCCCCTTGTATCCAAAGATCATAAAAATGATCAATTAAGCTTCATTGTGATGTACAAAGGGTTTATTCCTGCTTTAGAAAAGAAAAGCTAAAGCATGGAGGTCCAGATTTTCAAAGGGATGGCCTACACTATTTTGGCTGAGCATTCAGCTCCCTTGTGGCAGTAGAACTTTCTGGTGCCAGAAAACACCAGCTGTGCAAGCAATTGAAGACTTCTGCCACCACCCAGTAACTGACAGAAAGCATGTACAGATGCACCTGAGCTGGCTGCAATCTGTCACAGCCCTTCTAACAGCTGGTGTCTCAATGGCTAGGGACAGAAGCTACACATAAACCGGTTAAGTGATCAGGAACTGATTGAACAGAAGTTCAGTGCACATAAACCAGTTTCAAAATGGTCAAAACTAGTTTAAGGTAAACCTAGTTGAATGTAGTATCAGACTTAACTGATTTAGGTTAAACTAGTTTATGGAACTTCTGTCTGAGACTCCCTCCTAATTCAACTTAACTCACAGTCCTCCAGCTTCCCAAGATGCTGTGCCTGGGCTGTGTTCTCTGCTCCAATGGAGCAAGGCTGGCTCCACCCCCAGCTGCCAGCAGGCACTTTTCCATCCCTGGCAGCCAGGAGTGGGGCGGATTCCCCCACCTCAACCCCTCCTCAGCTGGGGAATCAACCCAGCTCCCAGCAGGGGTGGTGGGAGTAAAGTACCCACTGCCAGCTTTCCCCCTCTACTGGGCTCTTGCGGGGGGTTGTCCCCTCCGCCCCATACTCCCTCCTCAGCTGGCCCGCAGGCCAGGGAGTTGCCCAAGCTCTGGAGAGAGGAGTAAAGCCCCAGGTGTGGGCTCCACCTTTCCACCCCAGTGGGGCATCCTTGGGTTGGCCAAGAGCCCATGGGAGGGCTGGCACTTAGGCAGCAGAGACCCCCCCCCCCCCATGTACTCCCTGCTGGGCTGGCTGCCCTGAGAAAATGTTGCGGCCAGGGCAACAGAGTGCTCTCCCCCCACTGTGCCAGGACCTGCTGGGCTGCAGGCCACTCTTACCCGGGAGCCCCATACTGCAGGATGTTTTAGGTGGCGGAACTTCAGCTGGCAATGTGAGCCCTCTTCCTCCCAGGATATTTTTCCAAGTGGGCCTCTGATTGGCAGGGGCCTCTGGGCCCATGCGTTAATCTGCCTCTGCCTTCCCCCTATGCCAGAATGGGAGACAGATCAGAGAGGCTAACGATATGATCCAACTTCTGTTGAAGTCCACAAGAGTTTTCCCATCGGGCACTTTTATACATGCTCCGGGGCTGGGATGGGGGTGGTGGTTACACTTTAATCGAGTGGCTCTCCAGAGTGGCTCGGAGAGCCACTTTAATTAAAGCGCTGCAGCATCTCGTGTATCAGTGTCCCCATGCTTCAAAATGTTGGTGGGGGTCTTGAAGCTCATTTGATGGGTTTTAGTGCAAGTGCCCCAGATGCCATTTTGAAGCACAGGGACACTGATACATGAAGTATGGGAGGCTGCTGGAGCACAGTAATTGCCATGCTCCAACAGACTTGATTGATTAAATCTACTCCAATGTGCTGTAATTACAGTGCATCGGAGCAACCTCCTCACTCATGTACAGCCACCCATTGATTTGAATGGGGATATGGATCAGGCCCCAAGGACCAGATCCAAAAATTACTTAAACACTTCCACCAGGACTTAGGCAAACATCAGGTACCTTTGTCCAAAACCACAAACTCCTGCTTAGCAGCTGCCCAACTTTTGAGGTGCTTAAACTCAGTCAGCGTCTCCCAGTATGACCTGAATGGTCTCTAGGAACATGCTGAGAACGGCCCTGGCCTAAGTCGTTTTGTGCCTAACTCCTACTTAAGCCCCATGGGAATCTAGAAACATGGCAGAGCAAGAGCTTGGCCTTCTCAAACCTTTAAAGCATTTTTCCAACAAAAGCTACATAGCTGTCCATTCCATCATTTGTTACTCCCTCCAGACTAATTATAAAGTGATACTGATGATAAATCCTCCCTGGTTTTCCTTTGTAAACAGTGAGACTCAACTTCAGATTTTACCAGATGCCTGAAGAGAGTTTTTAGGTGATTAGTTACTTGCAAGCTTACAGGGAGATGGGGCCTGGTAATGGGCAGCTTTAGCAGGACTGGAGGGTAGGACAGCTTTCTTCCTGCCAGGAGAAAGGTTGGCTATTCTGAAAGATGTTTTCATTTTTCCTGTGTTTGAGCAACTTCTCTCCTCATCTCTCATGCCATTGCTTGTCTTCTAGAGCAATGCTTCCCAAACTATCTGATGTGGTGGACCGGCAATTTTTTTTCCAGTGGGCCAGGAACCGGTGCCCGGTTCAGCCGGTGGCAGCAACTGCGTGTAACAGCGCTACACAAATGCGTGACCGGCTGTTTCTTTCTCTTTCCTCACCTTGCACAACGTGACATCACCTGGAGTGCTGGAACGTATGAACTGTGGCTCTATGACATATCAATGTTATGCCTCTGAAAATATATTTCTTTCTTTCCTGGCAACTCGCTGCGGACCGGCAACCGGTGGCTCGTGGACCAGCACCGGTCCGCGGACCACCACTTTGAGAAGCACTGTTCTAGAGCATTACTGCACCTTTAATCATTTTTCCCTTGGTCCATGAGTTTTTTTTCCGCAAACTCCATGTAACATCTGCTATCTTGGGCACATTGCTAGCCTCTTCAGCTTCCTCTTGCCTATTTGATTAAGTATTTAGGGTGCAGACAGAAGAGCAGCTCCCCGTTGCAACTCATAAAACTTTGCAGGAAGCGCTATGAGTTGCAACAACACCCTGCACCCAACAGAAGCTCACTGTTGCATTTGGGGAGGAGGATTCCAGCTGCTGGCTGCAAGACTGCAGCCTGATCTCTGTAGCAACACCACTTGCCCTCCCAGACCAGAGAGTGTTTTCAGAATGGGAGCGGAGGGAAGGGAGCACAGAAAGCTTGTTCTTGGGGTTCCCCAGAAGGTGCTGGAGGGTGAGGCAGGTGGTTTGGAGCCCCCCTGCCAGAGATGGGAGGGAGGGGCTCCAATCCACCCACCCCACCCTCCAGTGTCAGCTGAAAAAACCCTAGACCAAACTCCTTACATTCCCTTCCCCCCCCTCCCATTCTGAAAACAGTTACAGGCTGGGAGCTGCCTAGACACAAGTTATAGAACACGCTCCATTTTGGAACATTTTCAGATTTTTGCAGGATCGGGTCCTTTTAATGCTGCCTGCAGCCGTGCACTTCTGTTTGGTCACAGCTGGAGACCACTTTTGGGGGCTAGATCAAGTGAAAATTGTCACTTTTTTTTCACTTCTAATTTTACTGAGAGCCTAATTTGCAGATATGCTCAGTGCCCAATTGCAATGCAACCTAAGGTTTCTCAGCAGCACAGAAAATCAGGCCCTTCCAGCTCTGACACTGTGACACCTCAAGATATGGTTCAGTGGCCCAGCTGTTCAAGATACGGAACACTAACTGCAGCAAGATATGATGCGGTGATTGATCTGGATAGCAGCTGGTCCTGTCTTGGTCATAACACAGTTATCTTGAGGGAGTATTGAGTGATAGAATGAGAGGGGTGGGGGGTTGTGGAAGCTCCGGGCTTTAATTTTCATCTTGTTTTTCTCTCTTTGCATTTTAACATGATATACAGTTTTCTTCTGTTTTCTCTTTCTCTTTCTTAGCATTTAACAAATTACCAGATAGGTTCGTAGGATAATAGGTTAGGGTGTACAAAAATTCATGCTTCTCTGAACCCCTTAATTTCTGAGGAACCACCCTACCCTGCTTTCTGCCTCTTTTTATACAGTGGTTTTCAGCCTATTTGATATATTATCCCTTTTTAAGTTTATAATACTGCTGTGTAGTCCTATGAATCCATGTTATGGGGAAAAAAGAGTAACACTACAAACACAATGTAAACTTTACATCTCTGGAAAAGGTATTATGGAGTTGTTCCTCTTCATTTTTGTATATTTCTTCCTTTTTCTCCATGTCTATTTTTCCTTTCACTTCTTTTTTCCACTTGGGTACCCCTTGAAGCTGGCTGCAAACCCTTGGGGTATGTATACTGTAGTTTGAGAAACATTGTTTCAGTGAAATGTGGCCAATTGCTAGGAGAGTGACCCCTTAGACCAACTTTTTTAACAAGTGTACCCCTTCTCTCTCAAAGTTCCAGCTCATGTACCCCTTTATATTTTTTTCTTGTTTTTAAGGGGTGGGGGTGGGGGGGAAGAGGAAAGCAAATCAAGGCCCCATGGTGAGGAATAGAGTGGGGCTGGAGCTGCACAGTCAGGGCAGAGCATGGGACAGAGCCATGAACAGTTCATCCACGGGGCGCAGGGAGGAGGGTGGCAGCTCCCGCTGGTGCATGCACCCTGGGAGGGCATGGGGTTGTGCACCCCTGGATCCATGCATGGGGTGAGGGTGGGCTGGCCCTACAGTGGGGGAGGGCGTGTGGCTGGGGCAGGGGCAGGGACCTCCTAGCTGTGGTGGGGCGCAGGACTGAGCTGCATGGGGGGTGGCTCCCACAGCTATGTGCACCCCCAGAAGGGCATGGGGGCATGCTCCCGGATCTGTGCGGGGGAAGGCAGGCTGCAGCTGTGGGCTGGGGCCAGTGCCAAGTTGTTCCCAGCAGGGGCTGGGCTGGACTGTGCTCAGGGCGGGTGGCGGTGGCGGCACTGGGAGGGAGCTATCGGGCGGGGGGGGGCGGCTACGGCAAATGTTGTGGTGGCTGCAGCTCCTCCCATAGCCCCCTCCCAGTGCTGCCACCGGTCACCCAGAGTGCAGCCCGGCCCAGCCCCCTGCCAGGAAGAGCCTGCTGCAGCCCCAGCCCCAGCCTGCAGTGGCATCCTGCCTTGCCCTGTGCAGATCTGGATGCACACACCTCCCATGCCCTCTCAGGGCGTGTGGAGTGGCAGGAGCCACCCCCTGCATGGCTCAGTCCTGTGCCCCGCCCTGGCTGGGCAGCCCCTGCCCAGCCCCACTCTCTCCTCCACCACTGGGGCCTCAATCTGCTCCTTCCCCCTGCTCCTCCTCCCCCTCGGGTCCCTTCTCTCACAACACACTTACCAGCTGGACCCGGCTACTCTCCTGGCCACTTGGGTTTGGCATCTTTCATAAAACTGTGCACCACAAAACATTTCTCCACTACAATATCAATGTTTTTCAACATAAAAAGGGACACCTTTTAATTATTTGTATTTCCCCCACCCTAATGACAACTGTTATAGTTTCTGCTGGGGCATATGATATCACAGAGAGAGTCCTTTTGTGTGATCTCTACTTCTGGAAAAAAGAAACTTCCTGATCATTTCTCAGATCTCTGTATGTGTTTTTTTGTAATGCTTTTATCTGTTTTCAAGGAGAGCTCCACCAGGGAAGTGTAAGCAAAAACCTGTTCCAGTGAAAACAAAGAGTAAGCATGTACCATTTGTTCCACTTGCAAGTAAGTCATTAGTTTTTATTTTGCTGTGGCACAACCTCATACAATCCCAAAGGGATTTGTGGCAGTTTTTAAAGCCAAAGCATTAAGCCACCACTATTAAAACTACACAGTGAATATGTTAACGCAGACCTCTGTTGCGTAATAAATATACTGTGTCTACCTAGCCTCTGCAAGTGAGTTTGGAATTGTCAAAATTATGGGGGTTTGGTTTTTTTGGCCTTGGTGATGAGCAAAAATTTGAGCAGAATGTATGACAGACTTTTGGTTAAGTCACTTGACTGGGATAGAGGAGACTTTGTGTGCAGTTTCTGTCTCTGCCACAGACTTCTTGTGTGATGGTGGGCAAATTATTTAGCCTGTCACTGTAAAGTTGAGGCAATAACACTTCCTTTCTCCCACCTGGTTCTCTTTTTTTTGTCTGGAGTATTAAGACTGAAGATATTCTGAGGAAGGAATTGCCTTCTACTGTTTCTACGAACATTTTCCCTCAAAATTAGGCCCAATTTTGCTTAGGGCTTCCAGATATTACTATAATAGGAATAGTTAAAGCTATTAAAAATGATCAATTATTAACTGATTGAATCTGTTGAGAATTTTTACCTACCTTAACTTTATTAAAATCTGCTTGCAAATTCCTTCTTTTCTTATTATGCATTTGGTCTTTTGCCAAAGAAATATCCCATCATTGCTTTTTATTATAAAATTGAATGAATTTTTCTAGCAACACTTCAAGAACAAGCCATACATAGTTCATGTTTCTTGAGGATACAGATACAAAAAGAGAAGAATGAGACAGTTTCTTTTTCTCTTTTTGGAAAGAAAAATTGCCACTTGTGTCTGTTTCTGTGTCAGTCTGCCAAGGGGGGGCTGGGTTGCGGGTTGCAGGCACTAAGGCACACAGTTGATAGCCCAGGGGTTGCAAGTTTGAGGCCACAGTAGAGGCACTCGTGGTGCAGCCTGTCAGATTCCAATGAATCTGCTAATTCTGCTAAATACCTTGTCACGAGGACACGAAAAAGGAAAGGGTCTACCGAGGCTCCTTTTTAGTTGATATTTTTGAGTTAGCCTTTTGCTTTAAA